TCCGGGCACCATATATATATATATATATATATATATATATATATATATATATATATATACCTAAGAACAGCGATACCTAAGGTTTAAAATGTATCTAAAAAAGGAAAAATCCTTTGGAAACTTTTCTTTTAGTTTTAATTCCAAGACAGTATATTAATATATTAATATACTTTGTTGCATTTCAAACCGAATATAAATTGATTGGAATTAGTATTTTTTTTGATTATCAGTAAATTCTATAAAATCGTTCATCTTGACCAATCTGTCAATACAACATAATTCTCTTTACTAAAAATATACTTTTCTGAAATGCTATTTGCAAAAAAATAACTGATTTAAAGTTTAATTAATTTGAATTGAAACAAATATTAGTACTTGTGGAGTATCTGTTGCCACTTTTTATAAAGTTAGATGTAGTATTTATTTATCTTTCAGACGGCGAAATGAATCTTTAACTCAGAATATCGAACATCTTGTTGGGATCAGTAAAATGGAGGAAAAAGCATCACTGAGGAACGGCACGACTCCATCTTGAGACTTAACTGGTCAAGTTCATGTGCAGTCGACCCATTGGATGCCATCCTACAGGCTGTCACCGCATTCCTAGCACCTGAATAATACGATTGTTTGTTATTTGGAGAAATAAACCTAATTTAAGAAACAAATAGAATATTTTTACACATTTGTATTTGTGAAAAAGTTGGAAATTAATTAAAAAATAACCCACAAGTACCCAAATATTACTAAAATATCGCAGAAAAGTATTTTTAATATGGAGGTGGGTATTTTATGTTGACACCTTTATCAACAGATTGATTCTTGGGAAATTTATCTAAGGAGGGGATAATTGTAATAAAATTAATGATGAATACTATGTAAGCATCTTTTTTTTAATTTTTTAACTACTCGGTAATCTTAAAATGTTTTAAGCATTATAAAATTTTATTGAATTAGGTATTTTGGCTTTATAGTCTTACTTACCTAGAGGCTGCTTGCGAAAATGTTAGAAAATTACAAATAAATTTTAAATTTACTATAGTTACCGCTCTTTTTTTTGATAATGTCGTGTTTCATACACGTAGCATATTTAATTCATAAACACAATTAAAAGTATTTCTAATTAAATAATATATTAGTTTTATTGCATTTTATTTTACGATCCAGAGCAGATTTTCTGTAATTGGCGGTCTTGTTTGATCCCCCAAAATTGATGATTTAAATTTTCCGACGACTTGTTCTTATAACTAATATAAATATTTAGCGCTACAACAAAGAACAATTTGATTTTTTCGAGAATTTCCAAATCAATGTTTTTCATCGCTAAAAGAAGTTCAAATTTCCTATACAAGTTTATGGTCCTACGTTGACGTCAGTAAAACAAAATTTTAATCCAAATTTAAAAGGTTTTAGAAATATTTTTCATTTAAACACATGAAAATATGTTTAAATGAAAAAAATTCTTTCATAATTCCACTTCATAATAACACCAAGATTTTTTGTTTTTATTATGTTTTGGGCATTCTTTCATCATGTATGCTCATTTTTAACGAATCTAAAATATTATATTTCACATATATTAAATATATTTTATATAAATTTATATATAATATATTTTTATACACACACATATACACACACATATATAAATGAAAATTTCTCAGAGTTAACCTGTAGAAAAAACAATATTTATAAATATAAATGACAATAGGAAAACTGTAGTTATTGCTGACGCGTTTCGTCCAATGTGGACTTCATTACCCAAATATTAATCTACGTCCAGGCTTTTCCCTATTTCACCTTTCTTAACAAAATTACTGCTCTCCCAAACAAAGGTACACAACAATATCGTAAAATTAAAAGAAAATGGTTGAATCCGCCAACACAGTTATAATGACAATATTCTCCAGACGTGACAATAACTGACGTTATTTTCAGTTAACAATATGAAAATAGCGTTCTCTACATTCCTCCATTTGCTAAGAACATTCTATTTTGTTATTTTTTGTTACGTTCTTTAATTAAATTCATTTCGTTTTTTGCTTTGATAAAGTCCACACTGGACGAAACGCGTCACCAATAATAACTACATTTATATTTTCCTATTGTCATATATATATATATATATATATATATATATATATGCATAATAATTAAATAAAGTAAATTAGAAATAAAATCTATAAATATGTAAATAACCAGTGCATTTAAATCGCAATAAATATTCATAAATAATAGTGAGCCTGTTTTTTAATATACGATAAATATAGTCACAATTTAATATAAAAATACGATGTATATTTGCCGAAAAATATTGAATCTGTAATTTAAAAATAAATAATCCGTAAATGTATACAATACTTAAAAATTTGCAATAATCACGAAATTATTACACACACACACACACACATATATATATATATATATATATATATATAGTTTATGCAAAACTAGGTAATCCGCATGGGTAGACCCAAGGAGGATGATATCCGGAGAGCTCAATGTAAAATTCAGAGCCGATATGTTTGAATAAAACAGACCACTAACCTTAAAGTGGTCTGATTTTTATTCAAACAATATATATATATATATATATATATATATATATATATATATATATATATATAATGTATCAAAAATACGTTTACAAACTTTGGGAGCGGGTTTCTCACCAAAACAAGGACAAAAGTTTATATCAATATATGTCCACAAATCCTCCGCTTTTGAGTTACTAAATTTAAAGAATGTTTATGGATGTAGGCCCTGGGTTAGCATATAGACTAGGTTGCATTTGTCATTCGTGTACATTTGTGACTAGTCTGTCTCCAACGTTTAACGCGTATAGTAGCGAGTTAACTTAGAAGTGTTCCGTTTAGCAATGGCAGGATATTCATATCGTGAGCAGACAAATTTGATTTTTAAATACGGGTGCGCCTATGGTAGTGGACGCGAGGCTGCACGACTGTATCAGATTGTGTTTCCAGACCGAAGGCAGCCGAGTCATCCAACCTTTGCTGCTGTTTATCGTCGCGTTACTGGGACAGAATACGTGGCACCACAAACTTTATATTATATATTATCGAAGCATTGTTAGAAAACGTTTTTTAGTGGTTGGATAGATTTACTATGAATTACTATTGCACCCAGAGCAGACCCGTAATCTACAGAAATAGATTTTTTTTATTGCTAAACGACATAAAGTAATTTTGAATTTTTTACCTGTGAATTTTTTTCCTAGCCAAAATTGTGACTTTTTTCTGTGAACTTTTTCCTGTGAATTTATTACCGGCCACATGTATTTCCATTCTTCCGGTTCACAGACTGGGAAGGAGTGTAAAAGGAGTGTAAATTTTAGTTTTAATTTCAAGCTAATAGATTAAATTTAATATTTCCAATAAGCAAAATACTTTACTGTGTTTCAAAACTAATTTAAATTAACTGGAAGGAGCTTTTGTTTTGAAATCTGTCATCATAATATTATGCTATTTATTCAAAAATCTTTAAAAAATAAAATATGCTTTTCTGATACACTTGTTTGAGAAATATTAGATGATTTAATACTTAATTAAACTGATTTGAAACAAATATTAGTTTATGTTTAAAAGATTGCCTAAATGTATTTTTCAACACGGCCGTAGGTTTTGACAGCTTGACTGACAGACGGAAGTTTATCTATTTTTTCTACGGCGTATATATCTGTAATAGTTACTTGAGGAATATAACGCAAGAGCCTTTTCTATATAATTTGAGCTTAAAAATTTAGGCAAATATTCTCCGTAATCTAATGTTTTATTGAGTTTTAGTTACTTTGGTTATACATTTACTATAGTTACCGCTCTTGTTTTCTGATAATGTGGTGTATGGGTGTCCGTATTTACAAAAATTGGCGCGTTTATACACATGCAAAAAATCAAAATTCTTTTTAAAATATTGGGCGTCACTAAATTGTAATAAGCCTTTCCATTTATGATTAGTAAATATACTTACTTAATAACATTATCACCTAACAGTGACAAATTAAGACAGAAATTTAAAAGATTTAAAACCTTATAAATTATTATAATAAAAATTTAAAACGATGAGAACACTTCTTGTGGAAATTCATTATTATTCGAATTTTTTTTTTTTTTTGATTATTGTGTGGAGTCGTATAAGCGTAAGAAAGATTGTACATTCCTTGTAAAAGTATCTAATACAATTTAATTTGGTTTGGTTTCCAGGGAGCAACCGATCATCCATAAAGTAGGTACCTCCATTGATTCGATAAAAAATTAGCATATATGATGAAAAAAATGCCCCAATCTTTATAAAAACAAAGATTTATCCTCAGTATCTTTGTGCTATTATTATGAGGAAAGACCAAAAAATTTTTGATTATTAAATTATATTTTTTAATCTTTTTTAGAATCTTGACAATTTTGGTTAAAATTTTTATTTTTCTTGCGTCAGCGGGTGACCATATATTAGTAGCAGAAATTTAATATCTTTTTGCGGTGAAAAACATTAATTTGAAAAACTTCTTGCAAAAATCAGGTAATTGTCGGATTTTAATGAAACTTTCAGAACTTATTCATAAATGAATTAAATTATTTTTGAAATGCTTTTTTTTCATAAAATCATGGAAAAAATATTTTTACATCTAATTTCCGATTTATTTAATTTTATGAAATTTCAAGAAATTCTTTTTTGTAGAGATTATAACAAAAAACATCCCAAAATATTAGTATGCTTAAAATATTTTAAAATTTTAAGATTATTGGGTAGTTAAAAATTATTTTAAAAAGGCGTTTACACTGTATTCGTAATGTAAACACAGACATCAGGTTATCAATAGATGTGTCAAAACCTTATAAAAACACCCAACTCTGTGTTAAAAATGCTTTTCTGCGATCAATTAATCTTCCTCATATAAATTTTATTTTTGAAGGATTTTTTTCATAAATAATTATATAAAGTGTTGACAGATTTGTCAATTTTAAACTTTGTGTATCACTTTTTTTGAGTTCTTCTATCTATCTATCTATCTATCTATCTATCTATCTATCTATCTATCTATCTATCTATTGTGAATTTAGGCAGCAATCATTCATTTATACATGTTTAGACGACAGACAAGCTACTACGATTAAGCTTTTTATTTAATTTTTTCTTGTGTTCGAACAAGTGTTTTCTTTTTTGGACACAGAGTGTGTAGAAACTGTCGAAATGTTCTATAATTCCGAGCGCTTTCGGCTACACGTTTAGCCATTATCAAGGATGATTTTATTTCTAATTTTTAATTAAGTGTATGGCTTGTGTGTGTGTTTTTAGAGTTATAGGGATGTTTTATTTTCCAAACACAGTTAGCACATTGTGGCCGTCTTCCTTAGTTAATATCATTGACTTTTTTTTAATTATTAAAGCTTCCATTATATTTTTTATCTTTTTTACATGTGGATGAGGTTATTACATTTGTATTTTCTACTAGAATGTTTCGGATGGAGTCTGGTAAGTTTCTGTGTGTCTGTGTGTTTAAATGGATTCTAATAAGCAACTGTGTTCCTGATAAAATCGAATTCATGAATAATTACATCGGTCACACGACTACATGCCTATCCAGACGCCTTACGTTACACCTATCTGATCACAGCTCTATTAGAATATATAAATATAACCATTCGTCGGAACAGATTAATTCTTATAATATATAGAGACATTTCTAATGAAGTCATGGATTTTTTAAATTAATCAGATTAAACGTCATTTTTAGTGGATACACATATTTGAGTAGACTCTCCGTTCATTTATTAAACTACATTTATTTATTTTTGTCTACCGGCCTGAATATTCGAAAAATCTTATTAAAGAAAAATATACGACCTCCGGCAGGAATCGAACATGCACCCCCACCTGGGCAGAGGGAACCATTGTTAAATCCGACGTGCTTCAACCGACAAAGAGCCTTTATCGCTCGAGCAAGGCGGAATAATGCCTTTAAGCAAAATCCTTCTCGTCATCAACTCTCGAAAATATCGTACCTGCTCAGTTTCATATCCAAATGTAAACAAAGCAATTTCTAAAGAAGCAATGGATTTTTTAATTATTAATCGGAAAAATTTTATCACTTTAAAAGTTATTTTTTTAATGGATATTCATATTTATGTAGACACTCAATTTAGTTATTAAACAGTATATTTATTTTCGTCTACCGACCTGAATAATCAGTCTTGCTTGATCGGCAACGGTTCTTCGTCGTCGAGTCGATTGGAGCATAGTGGGTGGGGTGACGCAGGTTCAAATTCTGCTGGAGAGAGCGCATATTTTTATTTAGCAAGATTTCTCGAATATAGAACCCTTGACCACCGAGAGCGTTACAACCCAGTTATTTGCGTATATGCAGCGTAGATAAATCAATAAAATATAGCCTAATGATGAAAATATATTTATTTTTCAACATAATCTTTTTCCTTTATCCAACGCACGTAGTACAAACATTATACAGTTAAATATTCAGATCAAAATTCAGCTAATAACTGTTAGGTTATGGACTTCTCTCTCTTTATCTATTTTTGTCGTGTGTACGTGTTTGTATGTATGTGTGTAACTTATCAAACTGATATACAAAAGTGAAATAAATATATAGATTTTTCTTTGTTCATTTTATTTATTTATTTTTTGATAGTGGGGTTGGGGATATTGCTGATGGCATCGTCCGCCTGTATGGCGTCGCCAGATGAATGCTTGAACATGAATCGTGTCGCGAGTGGTGGTGGGTGGATAGTACGAGAAGGTAGACAAATAACGGAGTGACATGAATCGTGACTTAAAACAAACAACAGGTGAAAAAAAAAATACCAAAATGAAGAAAAAATAAATTTTGGAACTTCAGTGAAACAGACAACATTTTTTAACGTGTGCATTCAACGATTTCAAGATGACGTGAGAGGGTCATAAGTGATGCTGCTTTTACAACATGACTTCGAGGAGAAAACGTACAAAGCAGAACAATTCTCATGGTCTCTGATAAATGTTTGAGACTTCTGTAATACCAAAAGATATTAAATACTTGTATAACAAATTAGATCCCAACTTAACACTATCCAAGAAAATATTGCGCGTTGAATTTAAAAATTTACTGACCCCATTTACTGAACTTCAAGGTTTTTTAACAGAAATTTCTGAAAATTTCTGAATTCCTTTTTAGTTAAGTGATAATAATTATTGTAGTTGTATTTTTAAATACTCTGACATGGAACTAGTGACAGTTATTTTTTGTCTGTAATATTCTTGAACTCAAGACGTTCATTTTTATGACATTGGCGAAATGTTCAAACATGTTTACAAAGTCGGGAGTTGGAAAGAACGATATTTGAAACTCACACGTGAACGCCTTCTACCAATAGTAAGGACTTTAAAAAATTGTATGGTAAAATGTAGGAAGGTGTTCTTGCATATTTTTATTGCTGAACTGGCAAAGTCATAATTTTATCGCAAAAATTGAATTAAAAGAAAATAAGTATTAACATTTTTAAAGTAATGTTAAAGCTCAATAATGTAAAATGCTTTAAAATATTTCAAATGCAATTAAATACGAGATTGTTCTGGTGAGTGTGGCTAAACTCAAATTTCAAAATGAATTATGCAGCGTTATTTACTTTTTAATATTTTTCCTATTTACAACTTTCGATTTTTAAAATGTTATTATTAATAATCTTATTTTATTTTTATTATCAATCTTTTATACTTTTTTACGTGTGTTGATTGATAAAAAATAGTCTCATATGTTGTGGCATCGTTAATAGTGGAGGCAGAAACAAAATCCTCTTAATATCAAACCACTGTCTGTTGGCATTAAGCAATGTTGTTCGATAATCATGTGTACTACGTTCGCGTTATGGAAAGGGATTAATGATAGTAATATTTTGCCATTCGCATGTATGAAAGAAATGATAGCCGGTGAGCACTCACTCAGCACATTCAAAGTCTGAAAGAAAAGGTGTTTTGAATGACGCCAACGCAAAGCCACAATGCAATGAATAAACATTACAACCGGCGAGAAGACAAATATTCACACTTATTACACAAATTGATAGAGGTTTTCAATTAAGTCTGAATTTCTGGGAGGAAGGGTTTAAATTATTTACATTTGCACTATTGTCTTCATCTTTGTTTTTATTATCACAACATTTCTCCAGTTATGCATTCCCGAAGTCTTCAGATATCTGTCGAGCCTTCAGGGAATTTCGAACTGTGCTCTTGGTTTAATCTGTTTAAACTGTTCTCGTTCTACTGTTCATAGCTAGGGTAGTGGCGAATAGGGCCTCTAATCCCAGAGGGACCCTGAAGCAACTTTTTTTAATGAGTGAATTTTTCAACAAAATCAATTGTTTTTAAGTGCTTGTCATAGAAAGACTGGCCATATTAGTGATAGAATCATAAGCAAATGGGTTGAAGTTGCTAATGTTGGCCTCAAAATATGCTTTAATACCCATCTCATTGACCTCAAAATTCCTCTGTAATTGTTAAATTTCAAAATTTTCTTGGGGTCTTGCAGTGTCCGAACACACACTGTATGGGTTCATTCAACTCGCTAGAATCCTTTCATAGCCAAAATCTTGGCAATTGAATCTATTGTTGTTGTGAAAGGGCCTTGATAAAGCTTCAGGGCCCGCAAAATATAGGTCTGCCACTGATCTCGAGATATCGTGTTCTTTTTAGTGCTGTTCCGTTATTGTTCGAAAGTATAAGTTTGTTCTACCCGGCACACTATTGTTCTACTCACCATTGCTATGCCACCAAATTCGCGAAACAACGCTTTTATCCACTAGACCAGAGGTTCCAAAAGTGGGTTCCGAGGGACCCAGGTGTTCTGTAAATAATTTCTAAAAAAATAGTTGCCAACAGATTTAGATTGTTCTATAATGTTGTGATGTATCTTGTAATATTTTTATGTCGTATATCCGTGAATGATAATTGTATCATACTACTACTGAATTTAAAGTAGTTATTGATTGTGATATCATCTGTGTACTATGACACCACATAAATCTGAATGTTAATTTTCTTGCCATATTGGAAAAAGCTCTGGCTGCTAATTGACTCTTGTTGGCGTAACTTTCGTATGTATACATTTCGGATAAAAACACAACACAACCTACTTATATGAAAGTGGATTTTCCTATTACACAGTCATAAGTTCTAAATACCGAAGCAGACTTAAAACTGCTGCTGACTTGAGAATCAAATTCTCAAGTATAAACATTAAAAATTATGTGACAATATGAAACAAAAGCATTGTTCTCATTGAATGTTCCAAAGGGAATTCTGATTACGTATGAAATAAATTTCATGTTTACATTGTTCGTAATTCTATTCCACGTGGGAAGAATGAAAATTTTAAAAAATCACATTTTTATTAAAAAATATATCAATTTGTATTACTTTCTAATTGCTTTTCCAACGTACTTATTATTTATAGAATTATATGAAAATATTTATGTTACGAACATCTAAAAGTATTAGTATCTTGGGTTCCTCCCAAAATTTCTGAACCAAGAAAGGTTCCGCGTCTGAAAACGTTTGGGAAACTCTGCACTAGGCTATTGCGTTTAATCTGAATGTAAATAATGAGGTGCTGAACGTTCGGCATTTCTAATCGAAACAGACGCAAACATAAACTTATGGTTTTTAATTTTTTTTGTGAGTTGCAGTTTTCAAGATTTTGACTTATTTGTTTGGTCCTTGTAATATTTATACCATATTCATACATTCCATATTTATATAACATGGAGGTAGGTGCTTTTATGAAGTGCTGACAACTTTCTCTAGATTCCTATTTGGGAAATTTTTTGAGTGGGGGGGGACAATTATTGTCGCAACAACAAGACGAATATAAGGTGAACGCTTTTTTATATAATATTTTAACCACTCGGTAATCTTTAGAATTTAAGCAAATATTCTAAGTAATACTTTATTGAATTTTTAAGTACTTTAGATTAATAGTCTTACGAAGACGTTTGTTGAGAAAATGTTAGAAAATTACCTATAAATTTCAAATTTACCTTTAGTTACTGCACTCATTTTCTGATAA